TGCTGCAAGAATGTTTGTTGTTGTTGTTATTATTATTATTATTATTATTATTATTATTATTATTATTATTATTATTATTACATTCAATTTATATACCGCTCCTTCCCGAAGGCTCGGAGCGGTTTACAGAGAAACATTTAACATCCTAGCAAGTGCCACATAGTACAGGGGAGAAGTGAGTGCCTACCAGGCACCCGAGCAGGGTGTGTTCGCTTGATGTTACTCTTTTTTCCGGCTCTTTCTTCATGGTGGGTTCTTTTCAGGGCGATGGTGTCTCGGCGAGATCTTCTTCTGGAAGCGACTCCTATTAAAGTCATTTATTTACAATACAGTCATCTCCTTCGCTATGGCAAACCTAGACAGCATAATAAAAAGTAGAGACATCACCCTGCCAACAAAACTCTGTATGGTCAAAGCGATGGTATTCCCAGTAGTAATGTATGGCTGCGAGACTTGGACCATAGGGAAGGCCAAGCACCAAAGAATAGATGCTTTCAAATTATGGTGCTGGAGAAGACTCTTTGAGAGTCCCTTGGACTGCAAGGAGATCAGATCAGTCAATCCTAAAAGAAATCAACCCCGACTGTTCCCTGGAAGGCCAGATACTGAAGCTGAAGCTCAAATACTTTGGCCACCAAATGAGAAGGGAGCACTCACTGGAGAAGACCCTGATGCTGGGAAAGATTGAAGGTAAAAGAAGAAGGGACAGCAAAGGATGAGATGGTTAGACAGTGTTATCAATGCAACAGACATTAAATTAAGCAAACTCCAGAGCACGACGGAAGACAGGAGGGCCTGGCGTGATGTGGTCCATGGAGTCACGAAGAGTCAGACAAAAACTGGAAAAGGGGGGGGGGACTCAACCCAGGATATGACTACGAACCAAAAAGGGCTAAGCTAAACCACATATGTACACATATTTATTAAGGTGTACACATGTTAAAACTTTCCTGATTAAAAATTACTTTGTCTAAGATCAGACTATAGAAGCTTATCCACTATACATGCGTATGATGGGTAAATACTTTACAACTGAAGATCAAACGCGTTTCGGCCCCTAAGGGCCTTCCTCAGTGGTCACTAAAACTCTGTAACAGGTCTTTTTTATATGTACAATAATTTTATTAATTATAAACAAATAACATGTAATTACAAGAAGGATCGATGTACAGACATATTAGTGATCTTTGAAGAAAAACATAGAAAGAATTAACAAACTGAGTGAAGTAGAATGCTATATACATATATAACCGTGCACATAAGTTATAAAACATAGGTAATCAAGTAACCTATGTATCGTTACCCTAGTATTCAAAATTTAGATTTGTCGTAGTTACTGAGTTTCCATAAATGAGATGATTTACAGTATTTACCACAAGTGTAGTACATCAATTTCTTTGGGAGTGTCCTCAAATTAATGTAGGTATTCTAATATAGGGAGCCAAACACAGATAAATGTGTAACAGGTCTTTGAATGTGTGTCTAGAATATATAGATAATAGTGACCACTGAGGAAGGCCCTTAGGGGCCAAAACGCGTTTGGTCTTCAGCTGTAAAGTATTTACCCATCATATGTATGTATAGTGGATAAGCTTCTATAGTCTGATCTTAGACAAAGTAATTTTTAATCAGGAAAGTTTTAACATGTGTACACCTTAATAAATATTTATACTTTTATACATATGGTTTAGCTTAGCCCTTTTTGGTTCGTAGTCACAAAGAGTCAGACTCAACTGTGCGACTGAACAACAACTAAATCTCCTTTGCAACCCAGAAACCAGTTTTAGAATTCTTTTTCATTGCATTTTACATAACACAGTGTATGGTCAGAGGACAGTTTTTAAACACAGCTATTTTAAAAAAATAATAAACTGATCTCTTGCCAATAAAATATGCCACAGGCAGCAACTTCATTCTACATCAGAGTAGGGTCAGACCTGTTCAGCGCTCCTTCCTTCTATTCCTGTCAGCATCCTCCAATCAAATGCACTTCATGGGAATTTTTTAACATACTTCTTCACCTTAGTACATCATAATCAGAACTATTTCTTTAAAAAAAGGTTAAAGGTTTTCCTCCCTCCCTCTCAACTTTTAATGTGTTGTGCTGAGAAAGGAGGGAATTTTAATCCACAAATGAATTAAGTGTGGTAGTTACTCTAGATCCACTAGTCCAGGTATGTCCAACAGGTAGATCGTGATCTACCAGTAGATCACGGAGGAATCAGAGGTAGAGCTCACCAGCCCCACTTGGTCTCCTGGTTTGCTGGACAGGTGTTTGGGTTTTTTTTGTTATTGTTTGGTGGTATTTAATTATTGGTGCAGAAGGTGCATTATAAATGGGGGGAGGCGCGGTGGAACCCAACTTTAGTGGGTTAAAATCTAATTTGAAACTAATTTGAAACTTTATTTTCATGGTGGTAGATCACCGGCACTTTTGGCCAGAAAAAATAGATCACTACCTGTTAGAAGTTGGACATGCCTGCACTGGTCCATAATATCATAATGTATTCCAGTATATAGATTCAGGTGGGGTAGCTATGTTGGTCTGAAGCAGCAGAACAAAGTTTGAGTCCAGTGGCACCTTTAAGTCCAACAAAGTTTTCTTCACTGTATCGAAGGAAGTGCTTGCACACGAAAGCTTATACTGTGAATAAAACTTTGTTGGTCTTAAAGGTGCCACTGGACTCAAACTTTGTTCTGTTCCTGTATATGTGGGACAAGACATTCCTTACTTCTGTTTCCATGTTATGCTTGATTTCTGTTCTCAGTATCCAGTATTTTGCTTTCCTTACACCTTTCTATACCACTTGCTTCTTAAATATATCATCTATTGCAGTCTTCAGCCTTTCCAGAGCTGGAACCTACTGAGCTGCAATACATGATAAGAAATCATATAATATCAGGGTTATATGACAAGTGGGAGGGCCACCAATCTCACCAGTGTCAAGACCAGGACCATGGGCAGCAGGTCAAAAGAGATAGGAAACACAAACTGAGTACGAAGAGGTATACAATAGTAAGGAGTAAACCAAGAGGCAGAACCATAAAGGACCACTGACAAAGGCAGACTGACCAATTAACTTCCAAAAAAGTTTCTCGTAGGCTGCTGCCCAGAGGACCAGTGGCAACCAGTTGCCAGCAAAGCCAAGGCTCAGTAGTGCTGTCAGAACCATGGGGGTTGCTTGACTAAAATTGTTCCATGGCAACACTGATTCTTGTCAATTCACCAGTTGCCTCTTCCTTTACCACTGCCAGTTGGTAGCAGTGCACTATGAGACAATGAATGACATTTTGCCTATCGTTGGTGCTACTGGCCAGATCTGAGCTGAGTGGCCCACACAATGCTGGCTTGTCACACTCGTAGGGCTCTCTCAGCTTGGCCTGCTCCTGGGCCATTTTACCTTCTCAGTCCAGTCCTGCTGAGTGACCTCATTTTACAGCCCTGCTGCTCTTCTCAGACTCTAGTCCGGGAGATTTGAACCTGGCACTGAAAGCCGTGGCTGGTTGGCTTAGACAGAGCCAACTGAAATTGAATCCGACAAAGATGGAGGTCCTGTGCCTGATTTCAGCCCTCTCACTGGTGAGCCACGAGGGAAAAAGAAGAGACAGGGTATCTGAGAGAAGCACTGGTAAACTAGGTGGAACATTTGGGGTTAGCTCTGTGTAAAGCACATACTGACCAGAAAATACAGCCTGTTGCTCACTAATGTTATGTTTATAATATTAAACGCGAACAATAATATATAAGCTTGTTTAATGTTAACTGATGTGAGATTCCTACCTTTTATATGGAGGGGAATGATGTGGAGTTACTTTGAAAGTATGGCCCCAAAAGCAGAGTTAGTTTAGAAGCATTTCCTACTTCAAAAAGATTGAAAGCCACTGGATTAGAGAGTGGGATGTAAGGTTCTCCTCCACTAGTATGTTGTCTGATTCAGCCTCCCTCTTTCCTACATTTGGTGAATGCAAGTAACAGTGCTCTACCTCACTGATTTGCTGGGAGAAGACATATAAAGATGGTAAAGAACACTAAAATGTAATAACATTATATAATTTATTGTTTTTACTTAGCTCTGTTGTTGGATTTTGATATAAGCCAACACAGTTATCCACTTTTTTATTTACTTTGGGAATTATGAACTGTAGCCACTGAAAAAGGGACACTTCAGCTGGAGGACTGGGAAATCATTCGGCTTTTAAGTACTCTTTACTTATTCCATCATTGTTATTATAAGGACTACTATGTTTTTCCTCTGCCCTTATCTTTTTAAGGGACATTTGTCATCAGAGGGACATTTAATCAGCTATTGGATGCTGTATTTTCAACTAGATGATGGCACATGGACCACATCATGCCAATCCCTCTCATGATACAGAGTTGCATCGATTTCCTCAACTAGATGATGGCATAATTTTTTGCTTCTTCTTCCCAGCTTACTGAGGGTACAACTTGATGCCACCTAGCCATATCCTGTCCTCACTGAAATCAACAAAGTATCCTGCTCAATAAGTAGACAGAGGCCTCAAGACAATAGCTTAAAGATTACCAAATTTTGTTTGTTTTGTCTTTTAGCATCCAACCTGATGAAGCATGGCGGGGGGGTGTTTTATTTTCAATAGGATTACTTTGTAGATAATATTTTGGGAATTAAAGTCCCCTAAAGTGGGTACTTGAAAAAGTGAGATTATTGCCAGCATATGTAGGTGGATTCTCTTTTCCCCCAGATAAGAAATTATGTTACAGAATCATAGCCTAATACATCCAAGTTAGATTACTCTAATATGCACTGCATGGGGCAACCTTTGAATACTGCCTGGCCTAGAAACTTCAAATAGTACAGAATATGTATGTATATCTCACTGGCCTGCATGGCTTGGGACCAACATACCATACCAGACTGCTTTGTTTTATATGAACCTGCCCATACATTCCAGTCATCTTCGGAGCCTTGCTTGGGTTGCCCCCGCCATACGAAGCTAGACAGGTGCCAGCCCAAGAAAGGGCCTTTTCCATTATGAGCACCGAAACTTTGGAACTCTTCCCCCAGGGAGATTAGTCTGTCTCCCTGTATTTTTGCCAGCAGGTGAAGACTTTTTTTGTTTTGTCTGGCATTATACACTCAATAACAGTCACTCTTCCTCCTCCTAGTTTTGTGTAGGGGATTTTAATTAAATTATTTGAAAATTTTAACTGTATTTTAAAATAGTTAAATGTTTATTTTTTATGTCTGCTGCTTTATGGAGGTGGGACACAGCATAAAATGTTTTAAATAAATAATATAAATAACATATATTGCTAGTATGCCTTCCATTTTGTTTGTGGGCACAATTCAAAGTGCTGGTTCTTACCTTCAAGGCCTTACATGAGCTGGGATCAGAGTATCTGAAGGATCTTTTTTTTTCTCATATCACCTTGCTTACCATTTGAGTTACATCTAAGGTCCTGTTCTGTGTGTGCTACTTTGCAAAGCCTGGTGAGCACAGACCAGAGACAAGGCTTTCTCTACAATGGTGCTCCAAGTGTGGAATACCTTTCCCCACAGTGATTCATCTGGCATCTAGCCATTCAAGCTTTAGATGCCTGATGGAAGCATTTTTATTTGATCAGACTCACCATTATTTATACCTTTTCAGATGGCTTTGGTTAAATTGTTTTTATGCTGCCTATTAAATGCCCTGTTTAAATGGTTTTATTGTGCCATTTGTGCTAATTATTTTCTGCAGCTTTGTTGATTGTCATATTGATTATTAATTTTGGTTATGAGTTTATCACTCAAGTTTTATTGTGCATGTTTTAGCTGATTTTACTGTAAGTCACTTTGAGTATATTTTTATGGAGACAGGAACTAATAATTTTTTTTTTAAACTGTTATGGTTTAATTCTAGCATGTTTAGAATTATCTGTAACCCTGCTGAATTGCTCTGTTGCCCAAATGAGAGAAGGAAAAAACTGAGTGCAAATAAGCAACTGTAAGAGATAGAATATTAGAAGGCTCAGTCAAACTGATATGGAATACAGTTAGCCTAACATGTTATGCAAATTTATCTCCAGTTCATTTAATATAATGGCTTGCGCTCTCTTTCTCTCTCTCTTTCCTCTGCAACTCAAATAGAAGCAAAGAAACGCTAGTGCCTAACTCTTGTGATATGAAGAGTGACCCACTTGGTTTATCGGATTTATGCATGAGGAAACAGGTCAGGATTAGCATTCAGGCCTCTGTGAGAATCAAAGTTTTTGTTTTTTAAAAATGGCTAGAAATAATGAAGAGTGTGAAAGCATAGTTATGAAGCTATCACATAAGTCCAGCACCCAAAGATGTATTTTAAAATATGGTCACCATTGTTTGATTTATGTTTTGCTTGGGGCTAAATCAGTCTGCAACTTTTGTTCACCACCAGCACAGCACCTGTGCAAACTAGATCACTAATATTCTATTGTACAGATGGGGAATACAGGGTGAGAGATAACAATTTGCACAAGTAAGACCATAGACAATGCTTAATTTTTAAAAAAAAAAGTGTTACGAAAACTTTTCCCTTTAAACCCAGAACCACGGGGAGGGAGTCTGAATGAATGGGACAGGAGTTACTCTGAGGGAAGAAGAAGATATTGTTTTGGAACATGTTCAATAACACTCGTTTTATAGAAAAAAAGGGTCCTAAGCTAAATGTCAATTAAAATGGCTCATAAAACTAAAGTCGAAGGGTGACTGCTGTGGGATTCCCCGGAATCCGAGTTTCTTTATCGAGCAGCCCACCTAATACACGTTCGTCTTATCTCCCATCTATTTCCACGAACAAGAAGCTTAGATCCAGTTGATTTCCATTTGGATTGCACCAAAACCAAGAACGAAGATTTTCCGAAGGCACAGTGGCGAAGAATTCTTCGGGACGTTTTAGTACGTCCCGAATTCTTCCAGTAGAAGTACCGCAAACTGTCACCAGAATTGCCGCCGCTTGCTCTTACGGCACCACTCAACCTCGGCCGCAAATTACAATCTGAACAGACTGCTGTCGTCAAGAGCCCGCCCACATTTTCGGAAGGGGGGGCCCGCCCGCCCTGACTGCCACCGTTCAGGACTCCGCCCCTCCTCCTTCGATCCTCGAGGAATGCAAGCTTCAAATCCGCCTAGTTTGCATCTGGGTTTTCTCTGATTAAAAGGACCGGCTGGTAAAAATGAAAAGGGGGAGTCTGTCTTCGTTTCGCCCCCTCCCTCGCGCCCATGGCTTTTGCATGAATTTTCGTGCAGCGGTTCCATGCTAGAGGTCTCCACCGAGCTGCGCAAATAGGAATTGGCTGCCTTGGGAGGTTGCTTTTCTTTTGTGCATCACCCAGCTAACTCTGTAGTCTTCAGGCTTCGATTTCCATCCTTAACAAAGACTAATAATCTAGTCGTCCATTCCAGAAATCAGGAGTTTGACGTGGAGGACAAGAAAAGGCCGGCGAAATTCGTGCAGGCGTCGTATGCCACGTCTTGGCCCGTTGGCTCCCTCCCTCCCTTGCAGAAGGCAGATGGAGAGAGAAGGTGATGCAAAGGCAGAGAGACAGCTTGGAGCCTGGTACCACTGCAGCAGCACTGATCACAATAGAACATCTGCAAAGCCATTGTCCCAACCTCAGGTCTGATCGGCCCATTCTGGCCGGCCTCAGCCTTAAACCCTGGCGACTAGTTCTTTGCCTTCATCGGCTTTGGTCTCTTGAAGAATATCCCCTCTGCTCCCCCACCCCCCACCCCCGTCTATTCTCACCCTTGACTGTCTCTCTGTGCTGCAGTATTCCTTTTGAGAGCTCAACCCCTCTTTGCTTTCTGCTCTGTTTTGGATGTTTCGGGATTGGGAGAGCCAATGCTGAGCACTGACAGGATGGACGAGTTTCAGAGTGAGGAAGAGGAACCTTGGTATGACCAGCAGGATTTGGAACAAGGTAAGGAAGCATACAAACCAGCACAGTAGTCTGGATGAGTCCACATCCCAGGAAGGAATGACCTAGCAATCCCCAAAATACTGCAGGGTCTTTGGGGGGGGGGGATATCTAAAATTGGTATATTTAATATTTCATCATACTTGTCATGGAACAACTTCAAGTTAAAATAACTGTGTATATGTTGTTCTTGATTATTCTAATGGGATAATGGTCTTGTAGTATCATTAGTTATCATGATATTAGACTTAAAAATTGTCATGACAGGTGGCAGATTCCGGCCCAACCATTTTGTTATAAATGCTGTTTAAAATGTATATTAGATGGTTAGAGAAAAATTAGAAGTTACTTGTGCTAACGTGAAAATGGGAGTGTGGTTTTCAGTTGTAAATATAACCCCAGCAAGGATGAAGAATATTTTAAAGAGAAATTAATCCATGGGGGGGGGGGTGTTACATGAACAGTTGTATACTTTTACAATTATTTGTTTTGCAAGGTGCAATGAATACAATATTTTATTTTTCCCTTTTTTCGGAACATACTTTTATGTCATAATTTTGTATCACAGGAAAGTTTTTTCTTTTCATCTATGGGCTCCACAAACCCAATCTTTCTGTGTACAATAAGAATCAATTATTTTAAGAAAAACCTACCACCATCTCTATGTGCAGCTTTAACATGAGTTGAGATAGACTCACATGGACAGATATATCCTTATAGTATTTTGTTGTAAATAGAAGTTTTCACAACTTCAGTGTCAGCACAGATAATAAGAGAAAGATTATTATCTAGGGTTGAAGCATTCCATTTACAACCACACATGAGACCTGATGGAAAATATATTGTCATCTAAGTATTGGAGCTGCAAAATATTGAGCCTTGAGCAAACTAGATGAAATTGGAGATAAACAGTTGCCACCCGTGCATGGTCAATAAGGACAGAATGCAATCTAACCAAAGATGATTCCATCGATTTCAGTGGGAGAGAGTTAAACATGTGCTTAAGTTTCCCATTAAAATCAGTGGGACTATGAATGTACTTAACTTTCCTTGTTTGAGGTCTCTACAGCTGGTTTCCTCCAGACCACAAGAGGTTAAATTGCTGAGACTCTAAATAGAGAGTTTAGATTATAAACAGATTATTTTCATCCTGAGTAGCATACAACTTGGCCCCAGTTTCTTGTCCATCGGTAATGTCAATGAAGTATCTAAGAGTGAGGTCATTGGGAAGAATCTTGATGTCACTGAACTAAGACTCTGTCTCTGACAACATCCATATATGCCTGCTTCGTTATGTGAATGGGGAATAAGTTTGTGTAGTATGAAAATAAATACTGGTTCAGGAAAAAACAGTCTGAAAAGCTACCACATCCTTATTTACAAAGCCAACATATAATTGCTCAGGCTAGAGGCATGCCAACAACATTAGGACAACATCAAAAATTATGATTTTGCACTTAACATTGCAGACATATGACAATGAAATCTTAGGGTGATAAACTGGCACCAGTGTTAAGGAAGATTGTGCAAGAAAACAGTAAATACAATGAATTGACTAGGAATGGAGACATGGAGAAATCTTGGAATCCACTGAAATGGAACATTACTGCCTAATAACTGCTACAGCTAATCTGTATGATGCACAAAACTCTCACCGAGGCAGAGCAAGAGTCAGCAGTGCAAGTTGAACACATCATTGCAGTTTAGAAAAGGTGGAGGGGTAGCATAAAAAGCATTGCTAAGAAGATCAGGATACCAACCTCCTGGGGTCAGGGAAGAAAGACTGTGTTTGACTGCAGATTCAGACGGGAAGACATCAAATGACCTTCTCAGTGACCCTATCTTCAGGTTAAGTACTAAAACAGCTAAAGGCAAAGTAATCTATAGTAACCTGCTGTCTCAAGGACTTAGTTTATCCTGGATACTTTACTGGTGATTTTGTTAGGTCGTCAAAGGTTATTGTATGTAGAATTTATGAAAACTGCTGGCTAAGTAACCACAGTTGAAGTAGGAACTGAGCAAGGCTTATACTCACTAACCATTTGACTACTAGTTAATTGTACCATCTTTCTAAAGCATGTCACATCTTTACTAACTACTGTAAGAACATAAGAAGAGTTCTGGCTCAAACCAGTGGTTCATGTAGGCCAGCATCCTGTCTCACACAGTGGCCAACCAGTTATTCTAGAGGGCCAACAACAGGGCATAGAGGCCAAGGCCTTCCACTCAAAGATGCTTCCTAGCACTGGTATTCAGAGGTTTTCAGCCTATGAATGTAGAGGATCCCTTTAGTCACCATGGCTAGAAGCCACTGATGGACCTATCCTCCATGAATGTATCTAATTCCCTTTTTAAAGTTATCTGTACCGATGGCCATCACTTCTATATGTAATAGTTGAGGAAATTCTGTTTCATTGTATCTGAAGAAGTGTGCTTGCACACAAAACCTTGATAAAACTTTGTTGGTCTTAAAGGTGCCACTGGACTCAAACTTTGTTCCACTGGCAGCGAATTCTACGTTTAGTCAGTTGTAAAATACTTCCTTTACCATCTTGGATCTGTTGCCCATCAACTTGATTGGTTGCTCTTGAGTTCTAATATTTTGGGAGAAGAGAGAATAACAAAAGAGTGAGTTTATTTCTGTGTGAGCCCTACAAATTTTTTTCTTCCTTTGTTTTGACGAACAACTAAAGACGGTATTGCTATGTCAACCTTAAGTTGTATTGCTATGTCAACTACTGAGTTGTAGTTTATATTCTTAACTGCACAAAAAAACAGTCCATGGAAGTCTGATGAAGCAAACACCTCTGTACACCATGTACTGAGTTTCATCACATTCCCCCTTTCACATTTGCTGAGTAAAGGCATTCTGGGTCAGAAGCACTGTTCCTTTAAGGAAGCCCTAACATTGGAATGTATGACTGAAGATGGAGAAAAGTAGAGACAATAAGCCTTGTATCTGGCAGCTGGATGTGGTGATGTGGCTTTAATGACATAATGCAGCAGATTCTCAAGGAATGTTTGCTATGAAAGTGCAAGAGAGTGAATTATGGAACACAAACTGTAAAGATCAGGGAAATCTTTTCTACTCTTTGGTGAATAGTTTGCTTGAGGATAAATGCTTTTAAAAATTGATTGCAGCCAGGTGCAACATATTTTATTTAGTTGCTATAGCTGGGCTTTCATGAGATTTATGGCAGACGTATGCAAACTGCATTTATATTATATTTATTGCATTTTTATCCTGGTCTTCTTTCAAGTAGCTCGCAGTGGTGTACTTCCTTCTCCCTCCTATTTTATCCTCACAATGACCATGTGAAATATGGTAGCCCAAGCGGTATATGACAGGCCCAAGGTCACCCAGGATGCTTCATGGCACACTTGTATATAGGCTTATTTATTACTTTATACTATATCATAAACTGCAATCCTAGCAACACTTTCCTGGGAGTAAGCCCCACAAAATAAAATGGGGCTTACTTTTGAGTAGACCTGCATAGACATAAATTAGCTGCTCTCATCTAGGTCATCTTATTTTTCCATTATGGCCCTTGTGGTGAACAAGTAGGGGGCACAAAGGAGACACTAAACTGTGGATGTGTTCACATCTTCCTTATAAAACAGCAGTTGTTGACTCCAGCAGTAAAGTCCTTCGAGCCCCAGCCTGGATGGCTTAGGCTAGCCTGATCTCGTCAGATCTTGCCTGCTAAGCAAGGTCACCCAAGTTAGTACTTGGGAGGCAGATCACTGAGGAAGTCCAGGGCTGCTACACAGAGGCAGGCAATGGCAAACCAGCTCTGTTCGTCTCTTGCCTTGGAAATTCTATAGCAGAGGTGTTGAAGTCTTCTGTCACAAGGGCTGGATCTAACATAAATGTCACTTTGTCGGGCCAGGACATGTGTGCCATGAAATGTAATGCCAGGTACTGGAGACATAAACTGTAGAAAGGACAGCAGCTGGTAAGGTCCAAATTGGTGTATCCTGACTGCAAGGCCTCATAGGCTGGGAGGGGGGTGCAAAGGAAAACCCATGTGGGTGGACTGGAGAGCCAGCAGCGCAGCACTGGGCAGATGCCCCCACACTGCTTGACTGCTGGCGACGAGGTTGTTCCACCATGCTGAAGCCACAATTGGACTGGCTCGTCCCATCCCCCCTTGAGCAGTCTCCTGTTCCCTCCCTTCCATTAGTTGCTTGTGGGCCGCATAAGAGCCCTGGGCGGGCCGGTTCTGGCCCCCGGGCCTTATGTTTGACACCCCTACTCTATAGGGGTTCCATAACTCAGCTGTGACGATGGCATTTTACCCCATGTCATATCCTTAAGGTTTGCACTCATTTCAGTGGGGATTAAACTGTTACTGTTCTTTGCCTTTGCTGATCCTCCCCTATGTACCCAGGATTAGTAGAAAAGAAGTGGTTATAATATGTAAAGCTGAATGTAAAGTAGGATAGAGGCAGGCCCGTAGCTACTGCGGGGCCCATGGGGCCTGCCTCCCTGGTGGTTTTTACGGACCCCTCCCCCTGGGTGGGGTGGGATCACCTACCACCAGGAGCCCACTCAGGAGGAACAGCAGGAGCCACAGGCCCCCCGCCAAGGCCCCCATTCCTTTTGCCAAGGCTGGAGAAGTCCAGTGCGGAGGGAGATCCAGGCAGCTATAGGAGCAACAGCGGGGGCTGGGCAGAGGTGCCAGAGTCAGATGGAGCCCAGTCCTGGCCCTTCGGAGGTGGGTGGAAGAGGATGGGGCCAGGGGTCGTTTCGTAGAAAAAGAGCTAGGGGAACTCATTAGCATAATTCATTAGCATATGCCACACCCCCTGACATCACCGGAAGTGTGTCATAAGGCCACACACCCCTGATATCACCGGAAGTGTGTCATAAGGCCACACCCACCACTCAGTTAGTCTTAGTCTTGTTAGTCTTAAAGGTGCTATTTGAACTCTTGGACTATTTTGCAGCAACAGACTTAACACAACTAATTCCTCTGAATCTAAACCCACCACTCAGG